GGGCACATTTTATTTCTCACATTTACAAGTTTGGACTGCCCATTTCAGACAGACCCGGTTAAGAATGTGCTTTTATATTTTGTCAATTTAAATTCATAATGTTGTCTCATATACATTAATAAATTATACACAATATATCTAAGCATAAAAGTTGTCATGATTATTTTACTATTTATTTTGTATTATGTGGAGGATAAGAATGCATATTATGCAATGTTCCAGTCATAATATGTTTTATTTTTCTGTTTCACCATTTATTATCAGTTATCTTCAAAAAGTTTATTTTAGTATTGTTATTTTCTTTTTTTTTAGTAATCTCTATGCTTCGTAGTTTTATGTGTCTATGTATCTATTTAGATGTACATCAAAAAAATGATAGATGTTTGGATGAGAACAATTCCTGAAACATACCATTTAATTTCGAATATAATGATTTCCAGCTATTTGTTGTCCCGTTTGTTGTCGCTCTAAACGCAGACCAAACATCAGGAGGAAATAAAACATCCGGACCAGCATATTGTTTCAAAAACATAATATTAAAACGTCAGTATTTTATCTCATGCATTAGGAAAGTTGTATTGTCATAATATTGGATATCTTGTTGTATGCGCTCCACCGCAAATTGAGATCAACCATCGATTACGGGACGTTTGTAATATGGTACTACAACGCGATTACGATGATAGTATTTATAATTGATTGACTTGTCAACTACAGATATGCTTAGTAAAATGTAAAATACCTTCAGGTAGGTAATACTGAAACCTGGAGCAGTAGAGGAATCAATAAAAGGGACACATTTAACACCTTTTTAAGGAACATGGCACTAGTATTTTAATATTTTTTTTCTTATTCTTTTTCCATTTCGTATTAATGGTTATATTAAAAAAAAAATACAATTCAAAAGCGTTTGTTTTTGAGCGATAAATAGCGAGACGATGACAACAGTATCGCAGGCCGTTGATAAATATAATGTTTAATAATAATAATAATGATAATAATAATAATACAAACCAGCTATATTACCTAATTATAATTTCTAATAATATACTACCTATTTTTAATAAATATTATTTATTTTGTTATTATAACCACTTTTACATCATCCATTTCATACGGGAATAAATTGTCTGAATATTGCTGTAGAGTGGCAAAAACGGCAGAGGGCTTACAACAAGATAGCCATAATATCTTTAAAAAAGCGCTGATCAACTTAATTTAACCTTAGAATAGTCAAACCCAAAATTACTTATTATTTACTGGTTTACACTTCACTAGAATGTAATAATATAGAAATATAGTAAGTAATCATGAGTCACCCACTACCTATAATGATTCATTAAATGTAAATTATTAAGTGATTGTTTTTGCAACCCACCAGTGGCGTCGTCACCCCCTATGACTTTTTTTTAAACCATATTTATGTGCTTATTTTATATTTAGTTATCTAAATATTATTATTTATAGGTAAGTACCTTCTATTGTACTAATATAGTATATTTTATAGAAACAAATAAAAAACCAAATCCCTTATGGTAGCTGTAACTTCAACAATATTACTTCGGAATAAAAACTAATTACTATAATTGAAATATTGCTTAATTATATTGAAATAATGCAGTTTAGGTCGGTTTTTGGGTAATTTTTGTCTACAACCTATAGGTGTATTTCAACAAGTTAAACACCATTGTATGATCAAAATTTGTAGGTCTGACTTACTTCCAAGGTTATAAGTGTTATAACATTTTGAAGTTCGGGATTTAGTGTATATTATGCATACGAAGATTATACCACGAATCTACTAAAAAATGTGATGTTCAAACTTTATTAAATAGTACCTATGTATAATGTATAGTTATTTATTTTAATATATGGATTTATACATGTAGGTTGGATAATGGTTGGACTGAGGTTATTATGATATAAGTCAATTTTTTTTTTAGGGGGGTGGTGGTGGGGGTAAATGGTTCACCCCTCCCCTCTCCCCGAACATGACTAAATTACGCCAATGGAACCCGCGACGCCAAGACATTAGTTTTATTATTGTATTAATACAAACGGGCGAGGCTCTTTGCAAAGAGATTGAAATGTGAAAACAATTTAAATAAGTACAAAATATCAAATAGATAAATAAGTCTAAAGAAGAAATAAGAATAAGAAGGAGAATATAATAAAATTTACAAGATAAGACAAGGTTAATAATGGGGAAAGACGGATCAGCATTTCCCCTGGACTTAATCGTCTATATAAGCGGCTTATCAGATAAATAATTTGCGGTAGAGTAGACCGTGGGGGATATAAAAAGTATCAGACGATCTGGTTCGTTCCGCGTTTAGGTACTTATATACCGTAATAATAATAGAAGTGTAGACGAATCGATAGATCCCTTCAACAGCTCATTAAAAAAAAAAATTGAATACCCGCAGGCCGCAGCATGTTTATAAGCGCGTATACGTTTGACTAAAGATGAAAGGCCCAGGAAAGTAACAACTGCCAACAGGGGTGTAATCGTGAAGCTCACATGATGAGAATTGTACATGTATACTTGAAAAACGTACGTTGTACTCATTCAAGCTGCCTTGAACCACCTGCAGCAGAATGGGAATTACACAGAACAGCCCCAAGAGCACAAAATAACTATTTAATTAACAAACTAGAACGAAAGTCTTTCGTCAGTCTATAAAGATAAAACGAGAGTTATAATAAAATAGGCCTTGCTGCCAAGTTATCAATATGTGGACCAGGGTCAAGGTTACTACTTAACTTAAGGCCTTTAATTATTATAAAAGTGTAAAATATTATTACAATCAAGTAAGTAGGTACCTAAAGGCCAACCTATGTATTGAATTGGTTATATTATTTTATATTTCAATCACTTAAAAAAGTATATATAATAAAGAAAACGTTAATGAATAATCGAATAGGAAATACTACAATCTATAATAAGATCCATTGATACCTACATTTGCAAATTGTCGCGTCAATTGAGTTCGGACACTGCTGTGGCTCTGTAAGATTAAATTTAAACACTTGAAATAAATCAAACAAATGCTATAAATCCTAAAAAAATTAATATACCTATGATGGGCTATGACCATTAATTGTTACCTATCTAATATCATTTTATAGATGTCATATACATCTATTATCTATATTCTATAGACTCTAAAAGACATATTGATCACGTATTACGTATTAATGTCATTGAATGTTGAATGTTCTGAAAAATTAAAACACTTCAAATAATACCGTATACATTATACATAAAAACAAATTGTAACTATAATATAATATAATTATAATTATTATAAAATGCATACACGTATAATTAGTAAATCACATTTTCAGCACCTTACGTGTTTAAATGGTGTCATTTCAGATTTAATATGGGTAAAATATTGACCGGTTCGTTAACAAATTAGGTAGATACAAAAATTAATGGTTGGTAGTTGCCAGTTGGTTCCTATCAACTCCCATGGTTTTTGCCTTTTATAATCTAGTTGTTTCCCCCAAGGCCCAAGCCTCCAACATGCCTGTAACTTGTAAGCCTGTTTCATTGAATTGGCAGGTTAGCAATTGTGGTTATTTGGTAAAAATAAAACTGGACAAACGATCTCGACTCAAGACCTCTAAAAATGATCTAATAATATTTTTATGTTTTGAAGATACTTTGGACATGTATATATAAGCTCGTATGCCCGTTAATTGTTAAACCATGATATGTGTTGTATAGGAAGGGCCAAAGGGTGACAGACGACGGTCGTGCTAGTTCGTTTATAAGGTCACACAGTGTAATATTATAATAATAATATAATATTACAATGTGTACCTAACTGTCAAACGTCAACAGGTATCCCTATAAGGCTATATATATAAATGTCTCATTATGGTTATCACTTATTAGTAATGACACTCGACGCTCGCTTCACATAAACAGTTCAATACAAAACTTTGGTTTTCTATATAAAAAATTTTTTCGACGTTGTTTTTTACTTTATACTATATGGAGATGAAATGATTAAAAGCTGATTTGTCTGGACAACGGGACATGATGATGCTTAAAAAAGAGACAAGTGTATATTATTTAGTTTTAAATACTTATTAGGCACCAACTGTTTTGTCTGTACCTGTGGGCTGTGATTATTTATTAGCGTATTAGATATTTTTTTAATTGGAAATAGGTTCTATAATAATTATAAAGGTATATAACGATGGCAAAATATAACACCAAACAAAATCAACAAATTACTTAAAAGCCAAAAAAGATCAACTTATGAAGAACCTTGTATAATTTATTCAATTTTCGATTAAAAAAAGTAATTTGAAAATTTTCGTGATTTTGCGAATTTTGTCGAAATCTCGACTTCAAACGCTGGTAAAAAATTAGAAACCTTACTGTTTCCTGGACACCACTTTTTAGCAATGTTTTTATTTTAACGTACTTATTTAATTTAGCACATTGACAAAGACGAGGGAGACAGAGTTAGGCGGTTGGACTTACTTGTTATTACGCCATTTTCAACCTTCCTCCTCCCACCAAATGACGGCACTGATAATTACCTGCCAAGCTCGTTAATATAATTTTTTTTTATAATACGACTTTTACTTCATGGAACAAACATGTTCAATGTTATCAATTTACTTGTTATCGTTCCGTTATCACTAAAAAAATACTTATCAAAAACATCCAACAGGATAAAATATTGATAATAGTTAATAATTATTGTTGTATACTTTCTTAGTTAAATTGAGTATTGAATAACTAATTATTTCCTTCTTTTTTTTATGTCTGGGTTCTCTTTAATGCTTGTCGTATGATTGTTTATTAAATTATCGATATTCCAGTTATTAAAACCTGTAAGAATGACTCATAACATGATTGCGAGTTAATTGTTGCTGATATTATCAACAAAAGCTCTTAATATTATTAGTCTTCTACTGTCGCAAGTCCCTTGCAATTTGTCTTGCTTTTTGAGACTACATTTGATTTTGTACTCAAAATGTGTGTTGGTGAGTTTAACAGAATAGTTTATGTTAAAATCCTATCCAAATTTGTTCACTAACAGATCACAGCCATGCAAATGTTGAGCTGGTAAAAGGGTGTTGCCAAGGTCACTAACCAACATACATTTTCTAACACAGAATTCATTTTTTACTAATAAATTATTTTAATTTTAAAAACACTAATATACAAATAAATTTGATTTGATTTATAATAATTGATGAATATAATACATGGTTTCATGTTTTTTTTTACTAGGTTGCTTATCTCGTATGCGCCCTCGCTATAAACGACTTGTTGATAACATATTTCCGTCCGTACCCCAGGTATATAACTTAATGTTTATCTAAGATATCTTAATACAAAATAGTCATTTGATAATTTATTTAATAATGGTGTGTAATCTAGGACGGCTTGGTGAAGAATAATATGGAGAAGTTGACGTTCTATGCTTTATCGTCACCAGAAAAATTAGATCGTATTGGCGAATATCTGTTTCAGAAAGCTAGTCGAGACATCTCTCGCAAGAGAAATGAGTAAGATTTATTAAAGTTAAGAAACCAAGCAAATGGTCTAATATTTTTAATTGTAGGTTTGTAATGATTGCTATGGAAGCTATGGACCAGCTCCTTGTAGCATGTCATGCTCAAACTCTAAATTTGTTTGTTGAAAGCTACTTACGCATTGTGCAAAAGCTACTTGAATCATCGGAACCCAGTTTACAAATACTAGCCACACAATCGGTACCAACATTTATTCAATTGTGTAGTTAATTAAAATTAATTCTGATTAACAACTGGTATTTTGTTTATAGTTTGTACGATTTTCAAATATCGAAGAGGATACTCCATCATATCATAGGCGATATGATTTTTTTGTTTCCAAATTTTCTTCCATGTGTCACAACAACAATCCAAATTTAGTCACAATGGAAATGATTCGAATGGCAGGCATTAAAGGCATTCAAGTAAAAATTGAAATTTAATGTCTTGTGTTCTATACTTGATTTATATAAATTGTACTTTTTATTCTTATTAAGGGAGTTATCAGGAAAACAGTCTCTGATGATTTAGTTGAAAACATCTGGGAACCTGTTCACATGGACAAAATTGTTCCATCTTTGTTATTTAATATGCATACAATGAAGTAAGTGTTATAGTAGTACTCGAGTAGTCTATAGTATTTGTGTTGTATTATGAGTTATCTCTTTGTATTTGCTCTAAATATAGATTATGTTGTGTTTTAGTATATTTTATGATAAATTACTTACAATAATGATTCCAAAAGCGAAGCCGCAATAGAATTACATTTATAACATAATATCATTATATAGTAGGTATTTCTAACGAGCCACTAAAATATAAACAATACTTATATTATATCTCTCAATCTCTTTGTTACAGTAGAACAAGTACAACCAAAAATAACTTTTTCAGAGTTAACATCATACAATTAAATTATATTTGTATTGTAAATTTACCTTATAAAGAATATTCTTAATATTTATTTTATTTTTTATAGATCTAAAACTGATATTGTTGTCGAAAGTGGAATTTCAGAAGAGGTCAATGATAAAACTGATTCATTTTCATTAGCAGAATCTTGTTTAAGAGAGTTAATTGGACGTGCATCATTTGGTCATGTCAAAAGTGTCATTCGCCCTGTTCTAAAGTAATAGACAATCTTATAATTTAAAATATTTTTATAATTTATTTATTTTTTTCATTTATTTAAAAATGTAGACATCTAGACGCTCATCATATGTGGGTGCCAAATGTATTTGCTACACAGTGCTTCCGTATCTTAATGTTTTCTATTCAATCTCAATATTCATATGCTGTCGTGGAGACATTAATGACACATTTGGATGAAAACGGCAACGCATCTCCCAAAATCCGAACCAGCATTGCAGACGTACTATCGAAAATTATCGCTATCGCAGCTAATGAAAGTGTTGGACCAACAGTATTAGAAATAATAAACTCCCTGCTAACAAATCTCCGTACATCAGTCACTAGACGTCCGCCGTCCAACATTGGCCTTTCTGAATCTGATGGTGAAAATGAATACAGAGAAGCACTTATACATGCACTTGGAGAATTTGCTGCACATTTGCCTGACTATCAAAAAATTGAAATTATGATGTTTATTATGTCCAAAGTACCGCAGTTCAAATCTTCAAATAATCCTAATGATCTTCATGTACAAAGAATGTGCTTAAAATCTCTTTTGATGGTATTTATTCATTTTATATGGTGTCTATGTTAATATTACAATTTACTAATTGTATTATTATATAGGTGAGCACCAAGTATAGTTCAGTACAAATGAATGCTACTTTTCCTCAATCATTCTTGGATTTATTATTGAAAACATTAACTGCTTCCGAGGATGAAATTCGCTTTATTGTCCTACGCATATTGCACACACTCTTAGACAGGCATAATAATGCACCTAAACTCTCCAAAGCTACGTAAGTTTTCAATTGAAAATACCGTGAAATATACACCGATAGTAAAAATAATAATAAAAATGGTTTTATATTTTATAGTGTAAATATCACCAAATCTGAAATAAACCTAGAGAAATGTTCTCGCAGTGATACAATATTTATCCGAAAACACGCTCAAGATATTTATGTATCTATATATGAAAGCTTAGAAATGACCAACAACACTGTTGAAAATGTCGAGGCCGTGTACACAACTTTGGCTCTAATATGTATTGAACTATTGTCTGAGGAAACTGTTTTGGACTTTATCAGACTGATTTTAAGTATACAGGAGCTAGCCATTACTAACGCTGTACTTTCAACTCAACAGAAATTCCATTTGCACGGTTTGGTCATAAGTATTATGCTCTTAGTAGCCATTGTGACAGATTTACATCCACTCAAGGACTATGTAGAGAAAGTAAAATATAAAAATTAATAAAACATTTATATATTGTGCATAGAACATCAATGAAAATTGTTTTTCAGGTAATTGAACAGAGAAAATTATTAAGCGCCACTCATTTGCTACCAGAATTAAGTATTCATAACGAAGTTAAGTCCGCCAGCCTATTGCCAGCCGGTGTTTTAATTGAAGAACCAGAACTAACTGAAGCTCTAAAAGCTTCAGGAATTGATATTACAAGTTTGTTTTAATTTAACGTACATAGTTTGTTTGGAGTTGGAAAGTTGCTACTACATAATTGTTAATTGTGTTATGGAGTTCAAATCATTTTCAAATCATTTTTTTGGAAAATATGAAATATTACGAGTACCTATATATTTAACATAAAATATACGTCTTAACACGTTAAGTGCCAGGCGGCCGCCAGCGGTCACGCGATTATGCATCATCTGTACTCCAAGTATATTTTTCAGTGTCATTCTAAATTTGAATATTATACTATTTATTTGAAAAAAGTTTAAAAATATAAAAAATATATTTATTACATCAAACAAATTGTAATGATTTGCGCTACGCCACGACACTTTTTTGGTGCATTATTGTAGCGCCATGGAAGAGTTAAAACCATATTCATTTACGGCTGCTGGCGGTCATGTAGCGTTTGAGTAATGATCAATTGTGGCAAAAAACATACAATTTGAGATTTACAAATGAACGCCGGCGGCCGCATGGCACTTAACGTGTTAACTAAGACAATGTTTTTTCTCAAAAACTCAAATAAAGACTGTTTCATCCAAACACTGTTCCATTCACTTTGTATTTGGTCTTTATTATTTTTAATAAATAATAATTTTTACTTTATTTATAGCCGAGACTGGTCCAGTACTCGCACACAGACGGAGCTGGGTTGAAAACACCAATATGTCAATGAAAGGAAGTTTTACTGATCTAAGCAATTTAGATTTAGACAGTGTCAACTCCACTCCAGCAATGCAAAGAGTCAGTATTAATTAAGAATATTATTATTTTAGAATTATATTTTATGTTGTACCTGTTTTAATATTAAATTGTATTTTTTATAGCGTTTTTCTCCAAATGAAGACCTGTCATTTGAAGCCATGAAACGTTCTCTGATGGATAACCCCGTGGTCAGAGTCGAACAAAATACCAGACAGACTCAGCTGTGCGATATGTTCAGAAACACGTCATTCCAAGATTTAGTGGCGATTTCCACTGCATCAAAGGTAATAAAATTGTTGGGTTTATTATTAAACGACCATCGGTTTTTGTAAAACTCCTATGTGAATTATATTTTTATGTTCAGGACGAAGAATCATTGCATTCAAAAATAACTGATGTGTTCAACAAAGTGGATATATCGAACAAGCTGTCGGCCGTAGAAACCACTAACCAGCCGATACCCATCTATGAGACACTGTTTCCAGAATTGTTTGCGTTTTAACCAAATTGTAAATTTTATTGACATATTGACAGAATTGTTTTAAGGTAGAGTCTACTTAAAATAAATTCGATTACGTTTTATTGTTGTTATATACTTATATCCGTAAGTATTAGGCCAAGCTGTTGGTGTATATGTATCTATTATAATAAGCCATTGGTGTTGTTACCAAGGTGATGTTTCATTTAAAAATAAATTTATATTTGTTGTGGTTTTTATTATTTTGTGTTTATTGTTTCCCTCGTGTATATCATATTATAATATTAAATATAACAAATTATAATATGATGTATTTACAAAAAAACTGCTGCATTAAAAGTTTGTCTTTTTTAAACTATTTTCGACTCTGTTTCAACATTACTAACTAAAATTTTTTTTAATAAAAATCAAATAAAGACAGCTCTAACTGTTTACTTTGAGTGTGATGCAACACTTCAGCCGATTTGAAGGTAAATTATTAAATGGTGGAACACAATCCTATGGGTTTATGAGAACCTAACTGAAACCGTCCGAGCCAGCTATTTTTTTCGGAAAAAATTCAGGAATTTATTAGCCACGTGGGGTTGAGGCAACATATAAGCTGCACAGACAAATAAAATCTAACCGTTCCGATGATCAAAAATTACTTTACAGGAACTATTACGCCCCGTAGAAATGTCAGATTTTGATAATTTTTTATTTTCATTTGAAAAAAATTTTTATTCAGGTTATATAAAACTGATTTTTTAATTAACTTTAAAATATAACTACCGAAAAATATAATTAAACATGTATGGTGCGTATAGACAATTTCTGAAAATAGAGTATTTTAAATCGGGAGTCCTATCCGACTTGCAGTTGTTTACTTGATCTACATTATGTGCAGGCGTGCAGCGTCAAGTTTTTAATTTTCTTATCATTTATATCATTCAGAGTGCAATTGCTCAGATTGGTATTTGTTGGTGTACTTAATTATCATTCATAAAATGTTAAAACTAGTAACTGGTGTAAGATCCAATTTTTATGACTAAGTTTTATTTTTTATATCTATTTAACATATTCATGATGCTAAATTCCCACTATCCCGAATTTGGGAACTATAAGATTTAACGGATTTAGGCTTTCGATTCACCAAATACTAAGACATACAAATTTTAAATGGTGAAACTGAATTTAGAACTAGTTATTTATATAGCACACTTGATTTAATATGATTCCAGATTAATCCTGTATACAATTAATAACATAAACATTCATGTTTCTAATTATTTTAAGTTGCTAAAATAATTACAATGTAATAAAAACACTGATATTATTTATTTACTAGTATTTTCAACAAATAAACTACACAAATTGTTTTACATTAACATAGTCTGTTTATTTTATTCCTCGCAGTTGACTATTTTGAATTTATATACCTATATATAAAAAAAAAAAATATAATACAAAAAGTCTGGAAAATTAACTTTTCCATGTGTTCTTTTCGTAGTCCCAATTTGAGGATAACCCATCAATTGGATCAACACGTAAGTCAATCATACGTTTCAATTGGGCTTGACGATATTCAAGTGATAAAGTTGGGTCATCAGCAGTGCTTGTCACTAAAAAGAATTATCAATATGAAAATATTATAATAGAAGGTTGATAACCACCACAGTGGTTTTAATTATAAACAATTAAGAATAGTAACAATACTTACGGAATTTACGAACTCCGACAAAAGAAAAGACGGCAACAGAGATCCAGACCATGACCCATCCAAAAATGGCTTTCCATTCACCAGTCGGTGCATCTACCTCAACTAATGTCTGGCAAAAACTTGCTCTGTACAATGTTTTTTTTTCTTCTATACTCAGCTTTTTCCAGTCTCCCTTTTCTTTCACACGCAACGCCTAGTTTGAGAAACAAAAAAGTACATAATATTATACCACTTATTACTTGTTAATCGATTATATTATTGTTAGGCATTGGTACAATTTATAACCAGCTGGTGCCCTTAAAATAATTCATCAGTGATCTACAGACACGAGTATTTAATGAAAACAATGTTTTGTCACTCTCAACATTTTATATGGGAAAAAATTATTAATAACAAGCAGTTATTAAAATCAATAGCAATCATTTTTTTTTAAAAAAACAATAAACACAGCACATTGGGCATAGTTCGTTTACGAAAATTGATTTTAAATCTGTACCATTTTACAAATAACAAACTTGCACAGAGGGTTGTGTATCGCACGGGCAGCAATATTTTGCTTTCCATTTGAACAGACTTAGGACTATCAGTATTGGAATAATTTTAAAAAGTTAATTGATTTGGGAAACTTGACGTTGTTGACAATGATACAACACTTTAAAATATTATCAATTTTATATTCATTATTAAATTTAATTAAAATAATTAAAATTTCCTCAATAATAGTAGCTATAACATAAAAACCTCAATTAAATATTATTATACAGCAGCTGTAGGCACCTATTAAACCACTGAAATCACAAAACAATAATGTCCTTTCGAACGTATATTTTATTATACTTGCCTGAATGGGCAGTATTATTCACTCGAAGTTTAAAAAGCATAATATACAAAACTAGCAATTATAGTTTATCTATTTCCAGGTAAAACAGGATTTGTTCAAACGACCAGTGCCCAACACGGTGTAATCAAAGTAGGTACGTGACATTCAACAGAAACGAACACAATTACTAAATTAAATGTCCATCATTTATGGAAGACACAATAATTGTTATAGCTTACGAATAAGTGCTGTAATGATCAAACAGCTTGCCAATGCATTATTATTCAACAGAGAAACCCCATAATTATATATTAAGCTTAAAGTTAACGTACCACTATTTCGGGGGTGTTCTTCATAAACCTAACGCTGGGGAACGGGAAGGTGATGGAGTCGAAGTATTGGGGTTCGCCGTTCAGACCGTAGCCGACAATGTCACGGCCGACGATCTTGTCCTCGCGCACCTGCATCACACCTTGTACGGGTGCCTTTGGCTCGGCCTGGAAGACGGCCGCCGTTGAGCTGTTGGCCGCCAGTTTGTTGTACGCGGACGGGCGCGCCAAGAACGAACGGACTATTGCACGGGAATACATCTGAAACGACGTCATGTCAATATCGAAATGTGTAAGAGAATTTAGGTAAATCACTTCGAATCTATTTCAGAAATCATTCATTCCACTCACCTTGGTTGAACGTTGTTGCGATCGGTTAACGAACGGCTAGGGCAGCGACGCAGCACAAGAGGTTAAAAGGTAAAAACGATTTCGGAAAATTATTTGGTCTATAATATAATCGTCAAGGGCTTGAAAATCAAATAAACACATGTTATGATAACCCGTCCAGTGCTGTAAGCGCGACATGAAAATCCGTTGCTCCGTTGGCAGCACTGTATCCGTAATTTCCCGGGTCATTTCATTTTTAAATACTCCACAGACATAAGAGGACGAGATAGTTGTCTCCGTTTTACAAAATATGTACAACATAGCAAAAAACTGTTTTGCGTGGGATAGAACCACTCCCTCGGTATTTATAGTAGAATTACCAAAATTCCACAACGCATAGGGAACAAATTTGTCAGTATCGTAGTGTTTTTATTATTTAGATAACATAAATAAAATTGAAGTTATCAGTTTGAGAACATTAGGATTTTTTTTGTTCTTTACATTTAATTATTAAAAATTATTGGTAAACGCCATAAAAAAAAATAAAAGCTACGACAGAGATAAAGTTGTTCCCTATGCGTTTTGGAATTTTGGTAATTCTACTATAAATACAAAGGGAGTGGACAGTGGTTCTATCCCGAGCAAAACAGTTTTTTGCTATATTGCAAATTTGACGGAAACAATACGCATACGGGTATCACGTCCTCTTATGTCTGTGGAGTTTTTAAAAATGAAATGACCCATGACATTACGTATACAGTTTATTCGTGCCACAGACATAAATATAGGTATATCCCTACATTGGCTATGCGCCACCTCATCAATCGATTAATTATTATTCATTATCAAGCTTAAAAGCGAAATTGTGTAGTTTAATTCCCTCGACACCTGGAAACAAAATCTATTCTCTTTGTACAATACAACATTATTACTTCTATAACAAAATAAAGACAATAAATAGTAAGTACGGGATGCCCAATTAATATTAACTATTTTAATATATTTGTAAGTCTATCATATTATATTTTATTAATACCTATAAAAAACTAAAAAGTACCTGCTTATGTCTCACTTAAATAATCACAGAACCATGGGTGTTCTCACTGGGGTGAGGGGGATAAGGGGATAGATACCCCATTGCTATTTTTTAATGCCAAATCCCCCCCCCAAATAATCTGGGTCACAATTAGTATATCCACAAAAAATCTCGAGCTGCAATTCGCTAGAAATTTTTACCAAGGCAACTAGTTGCCACCCAAAAAAATAGTAAGTATTTATGAAATTTTATTTAATTAGTATTTATACTTATACCTAACTTATAATAAGATATATAGAATAACTGAAACTTGCAACATAGAGTGGCCATGATATATTATAACTTTCATTTTTCAAAATTATAGATGGTCAAAAATTCATACTATTGAGATGCATAGGCGTGTTTATTGTGGCAGCATAGGGTGCCTGAGCTGCCGCTGAAATTTTTAAAGGCGCCGCGCCGGTCAACTGAGTTTTAAATCAGATGGGTTACAACTTTTATTTAAAAAAAATAAAATTTCTTTTAGGTGGGTATTGACGTATTGTTATGATAACAACTATATTTACTTACAAAAATAAGTTCAACAAAATTAGGTAGCATCTTTATTTTATTAATAACATGTATTGTCGAATCTACTTCCCAACTTCGGAAAAATCTACTTTAAAGACTTAAGACAGACAACGCGCGATCGTATGGTTCGCATCTATTATTGGATATTATTGTGGTATTATTTTTGATTTGTATGTCGTGCAATACAGGGCTCTAGATGAATAATATTTCTGGAGTTGAATTACTGCAATATTACTGTAGATTATTAATTGTAAATAGATAATTCAGAAATTTTTTTAAATTATATAAATATTTAGCCCACTAGTTCCGGTTATTAGTTAGGTTGACTCTTCGAATGAAGTCTAGTCATGCCTGTGTTTAGAAGTCATTTAAAGTTCAATTGACGAGGTGTTAATTGTTGTTTGGACTAAATAAAACCTCCACCTGCGTCCAGAGTACAATTTATAGGTACGTCATAGCTACTGTTAAGACATCGATTGAAGAGTGTCCAAATAGACTTGGACATTACACTGTCATAATAAACCTTGTATCAAATGCTTTAAAATTATACCTAATACCGGAAAATGGTCCATTTTTTGGTAGAAAATAATTTGATTTTTTTCCCCCTATATTATTAGTGGTACCTGAAATTGTAATAAATATGCGTTACACGGTCTTATGATTTTTGTTATTAGGGAAGTTGTTATAATATAGGAATAGCCTTTGAGGTATTTAACCCATGATAAACCGACAAATCAACTTACGGCAGTAATGTAGTGAAATAGCCTAACTATAACGCCGTGTGGTCCTAATTTTCCGGTTTCAGTTTTACACTAATTCTTCAAAAACACAAACATATTTTGTAAATTATTTTGTAGTCAAAAATTAATACAATTTTTAATTTTATTACTTACAACTTGTATATTAAATACAAGTTTTTCTTAAATTGTTTTTATTGGAATAATTAAAAAAAAAGTTTAGCGTAAAGCCATGTTAATTTTTTATAAGGATTATTAAAGTTAAATTTTACGAAATTGGATATTTGTTTAATATAGTTAAGGTTCTTAATAAGTAATTCATACGGAAACCAAAAAAAAAATCTATAAAATACATGAATGCAAATTAGATAATTTATAAGATTATAGACATGAATTTAAAATTATGATGTAACTAGATATTTAAAGTTTAAACGGAGAATCAAGATTTTAGTTACTTTATTGTAATTTTAAAATACTATTATTATTACCTTAATAAGTACCTACTATAACAATTAATCCAATATTTTCAGCAAACATTAATTCAACCTACTGAAATATAAAACTAATACCTAGAAAAATAAATTACTATAATATAGCAATATATCATAAAATATGGGTACTTAGTAATATAGGCTAACCGCTAACAGGCCATCTTCGCTCAGAACCGTTTTTCGTATGCAATGATTTATCATTGAATAACAGTTTAATACAATATACATTATTGTGATTTACTCAATGGTAATGTACCTATACTCGCCACTGTACGTCAGAGTGGTTAGTGGTTAGTTACTTACCTAATTTTATAGTTAAATTGATTTGCTAAAAAAAAAAAAAATCATCAAGCTACAAAATAAACATTTCTATTTAAAATGAATTAATTATGCTTCAGTTTGTAAAAATGTTTAACATGCATTATAAATAATAAATATTGAAAATATATACATACCTACTAGTGATTGTATCAATCCTACCCCAAACCCTGTTTCAATATTAACCCCGCAATCGAGGTTAGTTGACACAAAATTATTTGTTTATTTTTAATTTTGCAACAAATTTAATTAATTACTAATTTAATAATTTAAAATAATTTAGTAGATTATAGATTTATAAAGCAATATAAGTACATTTGAAAATGTATACAAAACAAAATTATGGGTGTGAAGTACACTGTGAACAAAACTACAAAAGCCCATAAAAAGTGTGTTTAATAGCCATGATATCCCTTTTATATGCCTATTGTAATATATTTGTTACATCTGTGTTTATATACGAAACTGTACAGACTACTGAGTGACTGATTCATAATAAATGCAGAGCCGTACCTAATAGAGCTATTGATTTGACATTTTGAGGGTAGATTAATATTATAATTTCACAGAACACAAAGAAAGGATTTTATAACATATTGATTTTAAGGGGTTAAAATCGACAAAAAACAAAACTGTGTACCTATATGTACGTAATAGTTACTATTGGTTAAAGATCAATAATATTAGTAGAAATTAGTATTTATTTATTATTTGTTGCCATTGGTTATTCGGCAGATCAGGTACAAGATAGAGCCGATTTATCTTGTATTGTCTGTAAACAATTAACTAATAAATATCAATATAATGATATAATATAATAATAAATATACAATGCGGCGGATACTGGCCACAATAGTCTAAGTTTTTTAAAATTATAACTATAGTATTTACTTTCTTGATTTACATGCCTACCTGATTAATATTCATATTATATTTCGTCAGACTCACGGTGTATATATTTTGTTTGATAGTTATATTTTTCATTGAATCCTGTGTGCAGAATTTTTGTCAAATGAATTCATTCCCGGTGAGCATGCACATTAAGTCATTGCAGTTATTGATGAAATTTCTATTTTACCGATATTTTTACTCTTTTTCATATAAATAAGTGTACCTATAATACCTATACACCTATATTATATAAATGTTTATTGTTTTAGGTCAGCGAACAAGATAAGGATGAATTCCTCAACTATTTGGACCAAAATGGTATTTTGGATAAACTAACCGACGTACTAATCATGTTGCATAGCGAACAAGAACAGCCCACGGATCCCATCGAGTAAGTAAAAAATACGTACATTTTTATTTGTATTAAAATAAAATAACATCTTTGTTCAGTGGCGTACGCAGGGGTAGGGTTCTGATCAAAATGGGAATTTATAATAGTTATTTGTTACCTATTGATGAGGTATAATAATATATTTGTTGGTAATAGTAGAATATTCTATTATATAATATATAATACGATTTACTGGAATAGTATAATATAGTAAAAATAAATTTTAAATAATTATAAAAGAAAAAAAATACATTTCTCTAAAAACTAAGTTTTTGTTGAACGGATTTAAGGTTATTAAATAGCGGTGTAATTAAACTTTTTATAGTATTTTTAGCACGAGTTTTCAAGTACACGTAACTGCAGTTTCTGCTTTGTAATGGTATACGAAGTATATAAACCCAAATTATTGTACTCGCATATAATTGTAAGAACCTATTATACAAACTTTCAAATGCACACAAGCACTTTACAAATTTTTAATTGGTAAATGTTCTACAGGTAATACATATAAGTATACAAAAGTCCATTTGTTATTTCATATTTTCATTGAAGATTTTTTTTTCCAACGGTTTTCATTAGTAGTTCGTATTTAAAATAAGAGATTTATATAGTATTTTATAATTGTATTACTGTATATAGGTAGGCATATAGCCATAAAGGTACTAAACACTAAAGTATGTAATACCTAATAATTATTATGATGTATACTATAATTACTACGCATGAATGTTGAATAGTATTTATATACTTACTATTATAATAGTTTACCTTTAGTCGAAACATTTATACTTTGGTGTGAACTGTGAAGTGTGAAGTATAATAATTAATAACCACAAATTAAAATAAACCTCAATTCTTGGTGAAAATACAAGTAAAAAATAACAATTCGTAAACTTTAAAACTGCCTCTAATATTATAATATTTACTTATAAATTACATATTATGTAGCTATGTTAGTAACCGAAGTAATAATTTTGTCGGAATATCGCATATAAATAAACCGGAAATTCAGTCTGCTGTAATCATATAATAGGTATCGTGTGTATTTCCTCATCAATGAGTGGGACTGTAATAAGCCACTGTAATAAATAAAAAATAAAAAACAAAAACAAACAATACATCATTATTGTAAAAACCAATACATTTCTTGCTCCACTCTGAATCTAAAATAGATTAAGAAACAAATTAAAAAATAAATTTTCATTTTATAGACAATATTTTTTATAAATATTTAGTACATATTCAGTTTGTACGAATTTGTACGACTTGAACTAAAATGTGTACAAATTTATTTCCTAAGGTACCTAAAATTCGAAAATCCACAGCGGAGGCTGTAGGAACGTTACCTCAACAATTCGTTATTGTTTCCAAAAAAGTTTCAATTCTAGTATTTAGTATTCAAGTTATACGAATTCGTAATATATGATTTCACGATTGTACGCAATACGTTAAATATATTATTATGTACCTCGTAGGTACTTACATAATATTATAACTAGGGCTAGGATAGTATAGGATTTTGCATTTTTTTTTAGGATTTACAGGACATAGATTTTCAAGCACAAAATGTGATTTGGTCATATACGAGTCCAAATTTATAGTTTTTATTTTGCTTTTTTTTGCATTTTTTGTACTTTTAAGGATTTAGGGTCATTTTTTTAGCATTTTTAGGTCATATTTTCAATTTTACGGGCATTTTTTATACATTTTTGAAATCTAGGTAATATTTTTATACATTTTCATTTACAATAGATGTTCTCGATAAAAGTTTTGAATTTGTAACAGAAATAATATCATATTTAATATTTCAATTATAGAGATAGTATAGAGAATAATCTTCGATATTTTTTTTGCTATTTTTTTATAATATTATAATTTAAATAATTTTTTACCGAAATATTAATTAATAATTATAATGCATTTTTATAACATTTTAAAATCATTTTTTATCTTTTGGGCATTTTTTAAGGTCATTTTTAGGTTATTTTAAGGTCATATTTTTAGGTCATTTTTAGGTTATTTTAATGACATTTTTTTAGGTTTTTTGGGTCATTAAAATCCTAGCCCTAATTATAACACACCACTGTTGGTCGGACTCCCTCGTTATAATTCAAGATAAGTAGACACATTTAGGTACCTATACTCATACACAATGGACATTGGACCTCGTCTATTATATTATATAGAATATAGAAATAATATTTTGAATAAATCTAATTAAATATTTTTTTTTCTCTGTTTTGTATGTATATTAATAATCGTTTTATAGTTGTAATGTTTTATATTTTTAAAGCCCCAAATAAAGCGTTTGATTTTTCCAAAGGAAGTACTGCAACTTCGACCATATGTTGCACTAACGTATTACGTTGTATAAAAGGCATACAGTACATATTCTGTTATAAATATATATTATATATACATATATATACATAGGTACGTCAAGGTTGTATTTATGGTGGTGGCTGAGAGTGCTGAATTCACATCCCACAAATTTCCGTGAACTTAAACTTTATAAAAATTTAGTGTTTTTTTTATGTATTGATATTGCAATATTTTTTACCATTATTACCTAGTATATTATCTGTGACCATTTTATCAAAAGTTTATCCCAGAAATATTAATAGACCACTTAATATAGAGTACACCATCTATATATAATATTTCTACCTTTTATAGCATTTACATTCGGTAGCGAACTAATTATAACTATCAAATTTCATATCAATATATTATACTGGTTTACTCTTAGATATTATAGTATATGATCTAAGGGTTTAATAGACATAACACGGCGATAATGTTTTAAAATTATTGGTGACTTGTGGTAAATATTTTGAGAATAAAAAAAATAAAAATGTAAACCCTCTCCTAGAAAATAAAACTCTGAATACACTCCTGTAAAACGTATATACATATTATATAAAATTCTACGGACATTAACATATTAATGAATTAAAACGTTAATAAAAAATAATTTTTAAAAGATAATTTTTAAACCTAAGCGTTTTTTATTACTCGGACGAATTTCTTAAAGATACGTGAGGAGGAACATGTACGTGGACAACCCTGACATTGAGGAAATTATCGACTTGAAGGCACAGATCGAGAACGCCGCTGTTGAACTGGCCGATCTTCAGAGGACCAGGGACGAACTTAGGGCTCAATTGGAACAATATCAACATGAATCGCAAGTGGATGGCGAAGGTTACGAGGAAGAACCGGCTAAAGTATCAGACAACGGAGACTATTTTGAATAATTCGGGTCACCAGTTCCCTGTGACATACTATTAAATACATAATAATTAATAATAATTATGTTTTTTCATCACAGCTGTGAGAAGCCTGTTATCAGTGTAATCGGCTGTTTAATTGATGGTGATTATAACGAATTGTACTCACCAACAGAACCAAAATGTAAACTAATCAGTAATCTATATGCATAATATGGATTCGTTTTTCCCTAATTTTATTCTTGTCTTTTACTTCCCCAATTTACTAACAAGTTACAATCTGCTACCAGAAACCACGCTTGAAGTGGAAAATCGAAGGATTTTTTCCACTTTAAAAAGTAAAAAAATGTTTCGTTCATTTTTAGGATAGACACCTACGCAGACCGTATTTAAAAGCAGTGTGCTTACCACACCCACACTAAAAGTATTATATTCAAATATTATTTTAGTTAAAACTTTTAATGAATTTACTTAATTTATTTAGATAGCAGATATAGTGTAGTATTAAGTAAAGTAGTAAATCATAATTGATTATTCATTACCATAATAATTTTAAAGAAAATAAGCACTAACAGAATTCATTAAAAAATACTAAGTTGATTTTATTGCTAACTGCGTACTTAAGACATTTAAATTGCCGCAAAAAATAACTAAATATTAAAAATTAATTCTGTTTTATCGATTTGTAATCGTTAAAAAAACACGCATCGTACAACGACATAATATTATTACTAATATTTAAATTACTTCATATCCTATATATACTTACGCAAACAACGACGTCGCTTATAATAATATATGTATATAATATATTATAGGCGGGTACATCATCGTCATCTTGGGATTAATTACGAAATCGTCTACGTAGGTATGGTATGCATAACTATGTATCAACTTTCAAGTGGGTACCTAGGTTATTAATTATCGTGTACAACATGTAGTACAAACATAAGTAATATTAGTAGCAATATAATTATAAGTACTATATAATAGACAATTGTTTATTATAATACAAACAACATGACAAAATGGTATATTATGTATTATAACGTATACAATAAAATATACTATAGTATAAAGTAAAAAATAAAATATTACTCAATTCAATTGGTACCTACTCATAGGCGTGCGCACAGGGGGTGCCTGGGCACCCCCGGACACTTCACCAAAAACGACACGGGCCCTAGTTATTAATTAAGTGTAAATTAAATGAATGAAATTATTGACGAATTCAAAAATATTGTTCCTTTTAAACGTCGATTATCATTATAAGATAGTATATCTATATATTGTTATGTAATATTTATTAGAATGAATAATAAAATAAAATAAATATTTTTAGTGCATTTGATATCTTTAAAACATTTGTGATTTGCCTCTGTATCTATAATTGTTTTCAAAATTATTGTGAGCAGTAATTTTTAGTGTGCCCCTGGAACCAAAAGTCTGCGCACGCCTATGTACCTATACTCAGTATAATATTATAAAGTATAACAACTATAATGCGTATGTCGTATAATATTATGATGACCGTATTAGTTTTTCCAACGAAATAGGTTCATGTGCCATTGTGGTGGTGCACCATACATATTATAAAGTATAATAATTATTTATATAATAAATGATATTACTTGAAAATTATGCAGCATTCGTGTTTAACTCGGAAAACCACATATCACCACAGTCTTCGGGCATAGAGTCAATTCATTAAACACATTATTACAACATAGGTAGGTACGCAACCTAGACGAGTAAAATATATTCTTTTAAACTTCACGAAATACATTTTCTTCATCATGTCGTATTATAATATGACAACAATATCGAGCTAATTACCCATCCTCATGTTGTGTGCGCCAAACCATAAACGGCATAATATAAACTACTCCTTTTCGATGATTAATATTGTATGCATACACTGCTCCTCGCTCGCACGAGTACAATAAACAATAAAATTGTCAACCGTCGTTCGCCGACGACTACGTCTCGTAGGTACCGTCTATTCAAGAACTTTTTTCATTAATTTTTTACACACAGCTAGTTCACGGCAGCAGCGAGCTATTGAGTTTTCACAATTATTTACAAACCGAATTTTTTCTCTGTACATAAGACACATAAAATATAATGTGGTTTTAATGAGAGCGCTGTAGAATTTTCCAGTTGAACACCGTAATTTAATAATATGCTAATTGGCGGTGGCGTAATCGTACGGTGCAGTATATTATAATATTATAGAGTCGTATTATAATTCTCTACGACCCAGCTGGTAGCTATCAACCTCATCCTTGTATGACGGCATGACACCTAGTTGTTGATCTACATAATATCATAATATCATTTACATAAAAGTAGGTATTCACAACATAGGTTAGGCATCATTATTTTATACTCGAAATCGCCCAATCATAATTTAATGATTATAAAAACGAATTTCGTAATGTATGACGTTCTGCGTGTTTATTAAAAAACTCGTTCGTTCATTATAATCATTAATATGAAAATCAATAATATTATAGCAAATATATAGGTACTTACGCACGGTGTTTAAATCGATTTTCAGTACCAAGAATTCACAAACCATCATATACCCGAACGATATCGGCGTACCTACGTCTTCAAATTGTTCTATGATTCGCCTCTCCGTTATAATTTAACCGCTCAGCACATTCCTTTTTTAATTGTTCAAAAACTGCAGGATCCTAATATAGGTACCCGAATCAGAGATATCTATGGGTACTTCCGAAGTGAGTGGCCATGTTTTGTGACATATATTTTTTTATGTATATATTAGGTGCCTAATAGCCATAATAACCAAAAATGTTACGTTTTACTATTGACATCGGCGTAGGATGTTGGCCTTTTGGATGTTTCAATTGTGTTTCTTAACTATGAGTTATGACTGCTCAGTGGCTCATTTTTTTGCCAAACCGTTTTTCTACTTTATTATTATGAGCTACAACCAATAATGGTATATTGACATAAGACCACTTTTAAGGTACTTTGAACTGGTATTGAAATTTTATCTTAAATATATTTAAAAACTAATTCAAAGTATTTTAAAAGTGGTCCGACAATGGTCAGTACCAACAATGGTTGTTGCGTAATAAAGTTTTATTTTAATAAATAATTTTACGAATGAATGATATTTGGGATTGTCAAGTTATCGAAAAAATATATATAAATAAACGCTACAACATCTTATATAATATTGTGTATTGTGAACATTTGATAAAGTTACTGTGAGTACTGTTTCCAAAAGTTCGTTCCATGCAATAGATTACGGATGACTCGGCATCCTATTAAAGAAATAGGTTCTTATATTATCGAATAAAATGAAATATATCAACATAAAGTAGATATTTGTATTATATAACTACCGTGGTTGCCGCTGCATGCAGTCTACGAGTGGGCAGCGGACTATTCCAATATGTACACACGATGTGGATTATTGCAGACTTGAGAGTTTAAATAAATAAATCAAACCTGCAGTGTATAAAAAACGCATATCCCCTCCCCCTAAACCAACCAACTAAAGACCAGAACAAAGTCTGAAATACAATTTAGGGGCACTGCAGGCGCACGCCTAATAATTGTATCGAAGAATTAAATTCGCATACTTACGTTGAATTGAATCAACAGCGGAAAACTACCTATAACAGTTAACAGCGTAAAAAAATATACATCATCCAACTTAAGTAATCAGATGCTATCATACATAATATTATATTATACAGAATAATAAGTATACATGCATACATTTTTAACAAGAATCAAATAGCTTACACGAAGGAAAATACACTACACAAGTTGTATTATAATTTTTTTTCAACGTAAAAGTCGTAGGTACAATAATAATTATATGCAGTGCTTGAATTGAATGAGTAGCGGGAAAAGGGTAACGGTGTTTCTCTTTCATAATAAAAATAGTTTAGGATACCCCTTTTAATTAATATTCAAATCGATAAGACGTTTAAAATATCTTCAAACACTCACAATTGTTGTATACTTTTGCATCCGGCCCTTCACAATTTTATTTCCAATTCAAGCACTTATTATTATCTGTCATGTCGTGTATTGCGTACCTATCTAAAATACATACGTACATAAGTACAACAATAAAATAATAAAAATTAATGGAAAAAAAAAAATGAAAACACAGTAATATCCAACACACACAATAATAACATGATAACGCATATAGTAAAATTCAACTTGTTGGACTAGAATATTTTGGTTCTAATTCTAAATAGTAATTACATTTATATAATTAGGCCGTACAAACGTGAACAAATTAATAACTATACATTATAATATTGATGACGGCCGAGAACTAAGCAATAATAAATAATAATAACAGTAATAATTAAACCCTATAATAATATTATAATATATAAATATGTAAATATGTTTTGAAAATTGTACTTAAATTCGAAATATCTAAAATAAATTAATAAAATATATAATATTTAATTCAAAATGTATTTATATAGTTTAATATTTTTTTAATATAATATAATAATATATTGTCAATAATTTATGAGACGGAAGTACTCGGTTAATCCGTAAGAGTAATTTTTTTTCTAATATCACGTAGGTATATAATAATATGATATTATTGTAAAATTTAAATTAGGTACATAGTGTTATGAAATATTATATGAGAACCGCGGTTTCTCACTACAACTTCGTGGAGTCATGAACATAAATAGAGGTTATATAGGTAACCTCTTACGGTATATAAGTAGTAAGTGATGACAGAATCGAAACCGTGAGCCGATCGGTCGGTGGGTGCGCTGATGGGTTTTCGTGTTTAATTTTTCGCCTAAGTAGAGGATGGCGTCGGCGGTAATGGCGTCTGCTGCAAGTTCGCCTTCCGGCAGTTCCACAGCCATTTGATGATCCTGGCGTTCCGTTCGACGATCGACGGCAGTTCGGACGAGGAAGATAAGCCGCCGGATTTCCCGACCGGTCTGCCAGTTCCTCCCTCGCAACCGTCGCCGTCCCCCCGAACACCACCGCCACCCGCCCAATGACTATCCATGAAGCAGTTTGTGTTGTTGTTATTGCTGCCGCCGCTCACCGAGCCCACCGAACTGTTTGAACCGCCGAAACATACCTGCGAGCCCGTCTCCGAATCGGTTTTTATGATCCACCTGTTGAAAGAAAACGCACACACGATTTTACATACCTATTTCAATATACAAGGGGATCCGCCAATACCATGCTCAGTTTATTTGCTCACGCTATATTCTTTCTTTAATAATTTATTTATTTATTCAAATTCTGATTTAGATAGGTATACATAAACATTCTCAAAAAATCATCTGCTTAACAATTCACAGCAAAAAATGTTAGTACTCGTTACAAAAGTTTTTGTAGTTTGTATTGCAAACTAGTGGTTCCAACTTCCCAAAATTAAATCAAGAAAAGGATTCTTCTTTCAAATCGTCTATCACCACAGGGCACAGACCATTTCTTAATTATACTACCATAATATAACACTTTTTATTTACTAATACGTTGCATAATAACTACAGAGCTTTAAAAATAAAATAATCAATGACATAAACGGTGTGGAAAACTATCTTAAACTATATATTATACTTACACTAGACTAATTTATCAACAAATCAAAATTTTGATTTTGGTATTATTCTAATTTCTTTTATATTTAAATTAAAAAAGTGGGTAAGTGGGTTACGCTCTGCAATAAATTAGGTGTCTATAGAGAATCACTATAATGGATGTGTTGTACACTACTACACTGTACAACGCCGATCAGATTTTTGAAGAAAAATGTCACAGTCCGTCAATAAGGGTAGAATGGCAATTACAAGAAATTCATCTTAAAACAAAACTTAGATCAAAAGATTTCTTTAGAATATTCACAATGAAAAATAAAAAACAAATATAATTCGAATTCACTTTATAACTGAATAATTGAAAAAATGAAAGGCACGTGATCTGTGCGTACTCGATCACGAATTTGGGAACAGTACCGAAGCAGTATCGAGCACGTTTGGCGCATATAATTATTATATTATATTGCGTAGGTATCGACATGGTATAAAATATAATTTTTATAACAATTTACGTATAAATTATCCATATATTAAAATATAAAGATACTTACAGACTACATATGCAGTGTCTAAAGTATACCTACCTATAATTAATTTCTGATCGAGTTAGTTTATATCATCCGTACGCCCTTGCAATATATTATACATAAAAAGCACTATTTCACAACACCTGAGTACCTAACAATTAATTTTGAATTTAGTGGTCCAATGTACATTTATTTAAAGAGCTTACATAGTATGAATAATTTTAAATTCAATTTAAAATATGAGTGTTTAATGTTGATTAGATGAAAAATGATACAATTATGAATTATTAATCAATGCAGAAAGTCTAAGATATATTTGGGTTTTATACAAATTATACCGATGGATATATCCATACATATGATAGACATGACGTATACAACCATATTGCACATTATTATATTTACAGTCGATAACCATTCTATCAGCATAGTGATAGCCTCCATTAATAAGGACAAACATAACTGATTTATAACCTATAGGTACCTTATATTATATTAAATATTAATACAAAACGAATTTTACTCAATTATATTATATTCAAAAAATCGATATTATGAGTACCTACATAATAAAGTAATAATCATGGCCGTAGTCAAGAAGGGGGGATAAACGGGAGAATTGCCCCTAAATCAAACAACTTCCCCACCTGGGTATACCTAATGGTACGGAGTTCCACTTTTCATGTATAACATGGCAACAATGCCCCCCTTGCAATGTTGTCTGACTACGCCCCGGTAATAAATAGACTGTTTATTGTTCTATCGGTCCTGCTAAAAATATGAGCAGCAGTGCAGCACTAGACATATACAAAGATACAATCCTGAGCACGCCTATTAACTCCATCTTAAACGTCAGCGACAAAAAACAAGGCGACCCAGTGTATTTAAACCCGGTGTATTTTTTATGTAATCAAGTTAAACAATAATAATCATCTTCACGGCGATACCAATTAATGTAAATCAAATTATAACTGCAATTAGAAACGGTAAATTATTTCTTATAAGAAATACGATTTTCTTGGAATAGATGTTCACAGAACAAACTATAAAGGACAGAATATAGTATATTGTCCATCTTACGTACCAATAGAGTATCCTTATTTTTTATAAGTGTGTCGATGTTAATTAACGCACCTTTACTATACTTAGTCTAGAATTTATAATTTAGTCCATTAACCAATCAGTGACGCATTTAGACATTTTGCGCCCCGGTGTAAAAAAAAAATTGGAGCCCCAACGAAGGCTTACCCACGGGGAATATGGGAGATGAATCCCCCCATGAACTTCTTAGATTATGAGCAAAGGAAAGAATCTATTGGTTTTACAATAATGTGTTTTTTTTAAAATATTGTTTAATAATTTTACGAGCCCCTATCCCCCTTCCCAAAGAAAAAATTGAGTGTATGCCACTTGAGCCTGCTTTTAAAGTTTTAACTCGTCATACATATAAGTTGTTTTTTTTTTTACATACTTGGGTACTTCATGGGTCATATTAATTATTAATATATTATTATGAACAGAATAAAAATAAATGTAATAAAACTATATTATAAACTACATAAATTAATATTATATTTTTTCAATATATATTATATATTATATAACTAATTGAAAATAATTTTAATAAAAACAAATTATTGCTTAGAATCTTAATAGTTGAATCGTTGATGAAGTTGGGTACTTATTTTTATTTTATTAATTATTAAAAATGTTATCTATTACATTTAATCAAGTTTAATGGGTACATGGTTGTATTATATATTTTAGAATATTAAGTGCATATTTTAAGCTTTATTGGGTAACGTTAAGAGCATTTTTCAAATGTCTATTGTAACATAACAAATTTGGGGAAAAACTATTATTAGGTACGTATAATATAAATAATTCTTGATCTTTGACATATTTAATACATTCGTTTTTTGAATTTCATACAGTATAATGTATTATAATACATATTTAATTATTACACAATATATTATATTTTATTAGAATAATTTCAATTCTAAAAGTTTTAATAATTCACAAGTGAACCAACTTTCGACCAAAATGATGACGCCCGGGACAGTTGTAGCCACTGCCCACACCCCCTAAATGCGGCCCTGAAGTCAATAGTCGTTACTCATTACTCGTTAAATACCAAATTTTTCAGAGTTGAATATTTCATTGCTCTTTTTCACCCAACGCTTTTTGAACCAACTATACGGGTTAGATTTTCGTATGGGCGCACGATTATACGTGAGCCCTCGATTTGAATTCAATATTATAATATTAGGTACCTACTACGATTATTATTGCTGCAATTACGATGACGACCTAACGCATTATTGTCGAACACAATATAATACATCACGGTCCATGATGGTACCGTCGAAAGCGCATCAGCCATCAGAAATTCACGATCTACACCAACAAAATCGTCTATTTACGTAATAGTGTTCGTGACATGAATAAATAACAATAAACATCGATCTACCTCCGTAGGGCGTTTGAAAGCGAATGTATAACGGGTAAGCAATTTCCGACTGATGCAAATTCGAGTGGTTTACATATTTTAAATATTAACACATAAGTATACCTATACCTACGTACATATTATTATTATTTTATAAAACGGATTTTCAGACAATCTATAGCTGGAGTGGTCACGTAATGCTTACTGAAGGTATAGTCTCTAAACGTACGGGAGAAACAAATTAAATCATATAGTATGCGTTACAGGCGTTTGACAATTTGAGACGACAAACCTTTGGGCTTTGACTTTAGGCCACGTAAAGTTTAGGCAGGGCGTTACCTAGCAAATTACAAAACGTATTAACTATATTATGTATTATTATCATAAGAGCTAGACAAGTGCAATACTTATACGATGTACCGCACGTATTAAATAATTATTACTCACAAAAAAAACATTTTAAAAATAAAATTGAATCAATATTTAATATAATTAGGCATAGTATACGGAATATTATACGGATAGACTGTGTAAGCACTTCCATTGATTTTATAATTTACCTAGCAAGTAAGTATACCACTATACCCTTAAGTATATGCTTTTACCTATTTTTAAATAAGTCCAAACAACCTAGGACACCCTCTGTCCTTTTTATTATATTCTTAGTATATATTATATAAGTATGAGAAATTGAAAAACGCATTATTTTAAATTTTGTTGAATCGGATCATATTAATTAAATACTTTTATGAGTTGTTTAATCCAATTAATTTAATTCGTTTTGGTTTAGTTGCTATGTATAATACTATAGTATTAATATAGCAATATTGAAGATTGGCTTTTATTGAAAGTATTTCACTCATTTTATATTAAATTACAAATCACAAATAAGAGTGAATCCTGAATAAATTAAAATAAAATAAAGATATAAATTTGTTTGATAAATCATCCAAAGCACTCTCAACGTGGAATAAGAAATAAATAAACAAGAATATAATGGTACTATAAAATATAAGGTTTTAACTCGGCTGAATAAAAGTGAAATATTTTAACAAGAATTTACGGAACCGTGCACGGTCATGACAGAAAAAAGGATATAAAGATATATTTACATTTCATTGCCCATTGGTATAATACATAATTAATTATATTCTTTAGAAATAATAAAACTAAAAGAATACGTTTTAATGCTTATGCTTGATTTTGAAAGTAATTCAAAAAAAGAAATTGATGTATGAATGTATGATTCAAATAAAATTATTTAAAACAAAATTAAATTAGTTGCACTCCATTGGGCAATAATTCAATTTATGAATTTTGTCAATGATTTGTATTCATTTTTATAGTAAATTCAAATATTATAATTGTATAAATCACTTACATTTATAGTGGTTTTTTCTTTGACACTAACTACTTTTATGACTCTCCAACATACCTCATCATTCGATCTCCTTGTAAATAACTCTACGTCTAACGTTTAAATTCTATTTAAGAAATTAATTTCTTAAATAAATTTAAAACCTAACCAAATTATTCATCATTGCATACAAAGGTAAGTATAAAAGTTAAATTGAACGCAAGTACCTTATTAA